GCCTTATGTTTTTAAAATATACAGCAAAGAAGTGCAAGAAATCAGTGAGCATCTGTTGCCCTATAAACAAACAAAAAAAAATGTTTTGAAAATAATCCTGAGTTTGAAAATAACTTACAAGAGGGAACTCTTGCGCTTGCTCAGGGTACAGAGGCACAATGACTGCTCTCAGAAACTCATTTCCTTAACCAGGGATGGAAAAGAAATGGTTGCACTAATTGTCAAAACAGTACGTTTCAAATATGCCTCCAGGATTACTCTCTGCATTATTACAAATGTTGATGGAACATGTCTTCATAAAATATTCTAGGACATAACTGTTACCAAGTATTCTAAAAAGTAAACTCCATGGGTAAAGACACAAGGATTGTGATCACAATTGCTTTCTCCAATCATTTACTGAGCGCCTACTCTGTGCAGGACACTGAAGCAAAGCTGCATGCTGTGAGCAGTGTGCTGAGGACTGACAGAGAAGGACATGACTGCCCTCCTCCAGGGGCAAACTCAACAGAGTGCTTCTCTGTTGGAGTCAGCTCCATGAACTCAATAAAATTCTAAATACTGAATTATGCTTACTATCTTTCTAATCTGGATACTCGAGAAATTACTTATGGACTTCACTTATAATAAGGCTTACAGCAGAGCTGTGGCAGGCCTGAAACTAATACCATATTCTCTTGGGCCTTATTTTTCTTTAAAACATCTATTATGTTCAACCCCCATTTGGATTAGAGGAAATATTCAATGAATTAGAGTGTTGGATAATCTGTGTGGTTTTAAGATTTTAATTTGTTCATATGATTTAATAATCTTTCTAAAACTTATTTTAAAAAGTCTCTGAAATTGCCAATTCATTTACTAATTTATTCCCTCATTTTTTTTTAAAAAAAATCACTTGATTGTATATATGTAAAAGTCTTCAATAAACTCAAATTATCAGGAAATTTCTCTAATTGTTTTTGCTTTAAATAGCTGTTGTTGACTCAGAGTAATTGTTGCCACTCTTCATTATATTGCAATAAAACTATGAACTTACTTTATACAACACCTGAAAGTTTCACTATCACATACTTAACATTTTAGACATGATTATTTCACAATGATGTGTGCTCAAGGTTTTCGTAATAAAAAATGTTTTATATAAACACATCTATTCTACAACATCCAATGGTCTGCACTGAACTGTACAATGACTGAAGTCCACAGTGTTTTACACACCCATATAACAACAGATGGAAAAATGTTTTTCCAATTTTAATATATGGAAGATGAAAATAAAGTTTTGAAAAACAGTGCTGAAAAAGTTAATTCAAATCAAATGGATCATGTTGATATTTCTTAACAAAAGAAGAATGGTAAATAAGCTTCTAGGTTACATTTCTGGTCGGTTATTACACTGCATATCACATTTGCACAAGAGGAACTGTAGGTTACTGCCTGGGATGTAGGTGTGCAGATCATCCTATATGAACTCAAGTTGTAGATACACTATTAAAATGTTGAACACATTGACCTATTTCAGAAGATATTATGCTTTACAATGCAATGAGTCACTGTCATTTAGAAACAGTTAAAATAATATAGATCAAAATTCACATTTCTGTTACAATGAGTATTTTCTTTCTAATGTCACCTCTAATCCCATTTATAGGAATTAGTTCATAATTTTAACTCAATGTTCATGGTAGATTTCCTAAATCTTATTACAATTTTAATTACCAGAATAATTTTCCAATAAACATGTTATTTTACTATTTTTGAGATAGTAACAATTCTCCAAATTATTTTTAAAATGATAAAATTAAAAAGATCTCTAATGCCTTAAAAATACAACAATTTAGTTTTTCAGGAAATTAAAAACTAAATGTGTATGTATGTATATATTTGTGACAGGAGGTTTCAAAATGCCTTTTTAAAAATACACTCACCTGAGGTTTCAAATGTTGAATTTCAGTAACCTGGTTCTTTCTTTTTTCCCCATGCTCATATACATAACACAATAAGGCTAATTTTAATAGTAACTTAATAAAATTTACTTCCTCATTTCAAAGCACTTATACTACATATTCCTCAAGATATTTATTTGGTTACTCACAATTTATTCACAGACAAAAAATACAGAAGTGTAGAACCACCTCATCTTTAAAACTGCTACATGAAATAATCAATTTTGTTAAAATCATTCCCAATAAAATATTAGTTTTTTTTTCTTATAATGATCCAAATGTATAGTGAAATGATGAAATCGAAAGACAAGTGTACTTGTCAGAACACAGGAAGAGAGGTCTTTTCCTCCTCCCTGACGGGAAACAAAGGATTCCTGAAAGCTCTGGCCTGATTTATTTTTCCAATTTTAAATACCTTAAGAGTAGCGGAACTGCTACTGGCATGGTAGTATTTCTAACAGTCAATAAATCTAAAATATTATGTGTGAATATTGGAATGAAGCCATTAAGAAGATTACAGCATGCAACACAGCAGAGGGTCCACAGGAAAAAAGAACTAGTAATTCAGGACAACTGTGACCACTGACCTCTGAACAGCCAGGACCGCTGGTCAGTCGGACACAGTAATAGAGTGCACATGCACAGACAGTCATCCAGCCTGTAAGCATAATTTAAATGCTTTGGGGAATTATTTTAAACGGCTTTCCATTTAAATCTCAGTTTGCTTATTAAACAATCAAACAATAGCAATAGTAATATTTTTCAGGCTTTGAGTGTAGTCAATTAATTCAAACCACATACCAAAAAAATAAATAAATAAATCATTTCTAATTTTAGCCCATGTCATTTAAAACACTACTGTAAAAAAAAATATGATATGATACTTCATCATCTTTCCTCCAGAACTACAGTGATAGTATTGGAAAACTGATAAAAAAAAAAAGATAGATCCATTTGGGATGTATTAAACAACCACCTAGATTATTATCAGAAAATTTCCAGAACTTATTAATGGCCTAGATCCATATTAGAACTGCTTTGATTTATCCGTTCTTCAGATTCATTCAGAAGCATATGGTTCCTAATTTTAAGCAGACAATCGATTTACGTTGTTTTACAGTGTTCCTTTTACCTTTATATTTCAATGTATCAATTACGCTTAGCTATCCTATTGTTTATGAGTAATCTACAAACTAGTTCCTCTCATCATTTCATGTTTAGACTTGGACACTATAGGGATGCTATCTAGTTTTCCCATCTACTTAAATAAATGTTTTAACTATCAAAAATGCTGATTCAGAAATACTACTACAAATAAAAAATAATTGCCCAGAAAAAGTGAAATTTCAGAAACTTTGCTGAAAGACTCACATCATAGAATGACTATAAAAATGTTACAATCATATCCAGAAAGCCTGAATATCTTTCTCTTTCTTTCACGTCTTTTTGTTTCTTCATAATAAACACTCTTTTATTAAAGTACATTGGGAAACAGGCACAAAAGAAAAATATTCTCAAAAGTTGATTCTGTTTTCATGAGCACTTCTCTGTCCAGTGAAGAGCATGCTGATGCGTTTCTTAGTGAGTAATCTTAACCATTCCTAACACTTTCTGAAAAATTTTATGAGGTCATCTAGTTATAATGAGCTGAAAAGATAATATAATTGTTCCCTAGCCTAGGTTTGGATTTGCTCACACATACATACATAAATTTTATTACAATAAGGTAAAGCAGTTCAATTCAATATGCTTCAAGGTCAGCAAGTATTTTAAGTTATATATGGGCATAAATAATTTGTTTTTAACTTGAAAGTCATATTCTCACTTATCACCAACCAGGAGAACAACAAATGCTAATTCTGCAATTTTTGTTCGCTTGTTTTGAATTCGTAAGTTCATTCTCTCAGACTGCCTAATAAATGGTTGCAAAGTAGTTTTGAATTCAGAAAGACAATTGAAAGATTTTTTTTACTTCCCAATTTTAAAATCCTTGAAAAGAATAAATGCTTTTATAAAAATCTGAGTTATTTTTAACTTGGAACTATGTTTACAAGGTAGTTTTAAGTAGCCATTAAAATACACAAGGACAGAGCACCATTTAGCACTTTTACCCTGTAACAAGGAAGACAAAGGCCACCAAATGCACTTTTGGAGACTGCTTAACATGAAATACAGAATATGTCCCATTATGAGCTGCAGACATACACGCTACACACACACACACACACACTCGCACGTGCGCGCACACACACACAAACCCTCTGCAAGATCAAAGACCAGAAGAAAACTGGCACTTAATTTATCAGCCTTTACAGACAAAAGACAGTTTTCGTCATTTCAAAGGGATCAGATGTCTTTTATGACAAACTGGGTTTGCAGTTTAATTTACAAATAGAATTCTAAGTAAGCAGTCTTTGCTCTGCCAAAGCAAATGACAAACAGTGTAGGTTTTCATTCTTGCAGCCCTCAGCAGGATAGAAAAGATTAAAATAAAACTGAAATAATTTAGAGAAAACAAATAAATGTTTCAGAAAGTTGAGTGAGATCAAAGCTAGAATTTTCTGACCCCAACTGTACAAGCATTTCTTATTATATTGACCAGTGCCATCAGATCATTAATTAAAAGGAAAAGCGCTGGCAGGTGGCAGGGAAGCAAAAGCCGATAATTGGCCCCCTTCTTCTTCTTGCCTTCAAAAACTCTCTCATTCTTTTGCAAGACATGCCACTAGGCAGACAGAAATGCCTACTTTGTAATATAATGATTAAGATGAGATGAAGAGACTTACATTTAAAGAAACTCTGCCTAATGAATGCATCTAGCTTTTTAATTATGATCCTACTATTCCAATAAGGAGTATGATGTTTCATTCAACATCTTCTCAACTGCCAAAAGGTAAAAATATTAAAAATAGATTCTATGTTAATTCCTCTCACACCCTTTTCACACACCCAACACTTTAATTTCAAATAAAAAGTGGAAATTAAATAACTGTTAGCAATCCAAGAGTCCAGGCAAAAACATGCATGCTCACCACCAAATACCCTCAGACTCACCACATCACTGGGGAGGTTGTTCAAGTCATTAAACGGTGATTCTAAAGTGTTTGTGTCAACATTTAATATAACCACATCTTCCAATGACTTGTTTTTCACTCTCTGTTAAAAAAAAAAAACATAATTATGACGGAAAATGCCTTAATATATATTCCTGACTAAACTATCCTAAGCTTGGAAAAATAGTAATACTTAGATTGATGCATTAAACTTGTGAAAAGAAAAAAAAATTCTACATTTTAAAAGAAGACAAACATCTTTGCGTTCTGAAAAAGGAAACTAAAAATATTTGCTGAAAAAGGGTGACAGAATATTTGCTCCACTAATCTTTAATTAACTACCAAAGAAAATCAGAAAACCCTGTATAAAATAGGCACAGTTACATAAACCTTAAATAGATAACATGCTCTAAACTTTATCAACTCGATTTCAAATTTGTGTTCCATACCTACTGTTAGGATAAATCACACTACATAACATAAATCAACATCTATGAATACGGTATTATACCATGCTTGATACTAACAATTATTTTCTGCTTGTTTCCATACAAGCAATCGTATATTAAGGTTGAGGTGTTAAATTTGAATAAGAAAAAAAAAAAACCAGAGAGGATAGTAATATAGACTTTGTTGCTAATAGTCGTCAAATTAATTTCAGCATAAAGCATCAAATTTAATAGTCTAGCAGATTGACCAATTGTCTTGTTAGAAAGCTGAGTCAAAACAGTGACATATGTCAATATCTCCAAAAATGACATTAAATTTTAAAAATTTTATCAAAATTTCCAATCCTAAAGAAATGAAACATTTGCATTCACTTTTCCTAACTAAACTAATATGTATCCTTAAACCAAGTATATAATTTTACTAATCTTACAGATATTGTATCAAATATTATTTCTCAGTGAGTCAAAGTGCTCATTAGTTAAACAGATCCATGAATTCAGAATTCCATTACCACAAGTTGACAAATAACAGACCAATAATCAATTATAACGTAATGTTTTTAAAGTGTTTTTCTCCTTTGAGAGTCATTTTTAACTATTACTTAAACATCTTAAATTTTATACTGCCCATGCCAATTGCTTTTTAAGTTAGTCATTACTGAAATTTCTCTGATCTATTCAGAATTTAAAATCTCTGCATTTTGAGTAGATTGTTAAATTTCTATTGAAATATAACTCTAGAAATTTCTCCATGTTCAGAAAATCATTATGTCTATGCAGTGCATTCTCACAGGGACAAAGAATTGCTAATACCCTGCTAAAGGTGTTTTTAATTGCTAAAAAGTAAACTTTAAAAATCAGTCAAAGTGTTAACAAAGAGTCACTTATAGCATATTATTGATATGACTGCAAAAATTTATAAACGTACTCATTTCATTTTCACGTGCATATATGTAAAAAAGGTTTAAACACATAAAATATGATTATCCTTAAATTATAATAGCAACCTATAGGCCAAAACATTTACATTAGTGGCATTTATAAGGAAAAACATGATTTTGACAAACATCTTCATTTTAAATAATCTCTAAGCAGAAACTGAAAGACAATCCAGAAAGCTAACATCCTAGGACAACAGCCATACCCCTTCAGATGTTCTGTGAACACTTAACAATAAACTCTGAATCAAAGAACTGATATTAATATGAAATGCAAAAGCTTTTAAGATTGTTCTTAGTTTTTAAAAGTCTGATAATAGCTTAACATTCGATTTTGATTATTTGATAATGATAGAGGAATGTGTTTATCTCTAATCAATAAATTGAGACTCCCTCTCTAATATGGCAATTTTTTAAAAACAAACCACAGAAAGAGTAGTAAGTGATTTAAATATTTTTAGAGAAAATTTAGATTTATGCCTACAGTTTATCAATTTTTTCTCTCTACTTCAGGCTATAGCTATTTTGAGTACATATCTGCTTCATATTTTACCTCATAAAATTATGAAATATAGAATTAAGATGTAGAAAATGCAGGGGCAGGTGTATGGTGCAGTAGTTATTCCACTCATTGGAATACAGGCATCCCATGTCAGATGCCTAGGGTTACTTCCTGGCTCCATTTCCAATCCAGTCTCCTGCTGATGAGCACACTGGGAGCAGCAGGGAGGGTGACGGCTCAAGTCAGAAGCCTGCTACCCAACAAGGAAACCCTGCGTGAGCTGCTGGCTCCTGGCTTCAGCCTGCTCTAACCCTGTGTGCACGGGCATTTGGACAGTTAACAAGAGAGAAGATACCTGTCCTTCTTTCTAACTGTTTGCCTTCAAATAACACCAAACTAAACTTTAAAACAAAATTGAAAATATAAAAAATGGTTTTTTTCTAATAAAAATAAGAAAACATTACTGGAAACAGAAAGTCTGTTATTAAAAACAACAATAAAAGTTTTCAACATTGAGAAGGTCTTCTCACACCTTCTCTGTCCTTTCCAGACAATGTGACTACCAGTGTCACAAATACACATTGCACAAAGTAATGCAAACACATGACACCATGGCTGTAATCATACACTGTAAAATCATGTCAACATAATCTAGAGTTCTTTATTTTTGAAACAAGTAAGACAACCCTCACCTTTAAAACATGTCCTAACTTATTCCTTTTCCCTTGCATGCCTAAATCTGTTCTGAATTCATCCTTAAAGTCTACTTTTTAGGGAGATAAAATGACCTTAGCCTTTTATTCTGAAACAAATTTATATATTATGAAGGTATTTCTATACAATTTTTATTCAAATTCACATAAAAATAATTCAAAGAAATTTTGTGAAGAACATTAATTTTATGTGTTTGAAAAACTATTGAACCTGTCCTGAGAAAAAATAAGAGAATATTTTGACTCTTCTTACCAAAGAAAAAAGAAGGGAAAGGGGGCTGTAAGTCCCAAACAATATACAGAAAATCATTCATCTCAGTTTCATCTCACATTTAATACTAAATGTGCTAACAGTTAAGTCCACATTTTCAGTATGATGATTTTTTTTAAAAAAGCAAGCCAGAAATTTAAGTGAAAAGTCTAATAAGGACATCAATGATGTCACTGGATGAGGAACAAAACTACTAAAGGTTTAAGGGAGCGGACGAAGTTCCGGGCACACCATCTCCTAGCGAACCAAATGAAACGTATTATTAGGACACTTGAATAAGTCCAGAGGTGAAAACCTATAGTTTTCAGCAAACGGATTTATGGTTCTAAGAATAGGAGCCAATTTAAAGTTAGAACAGATGATTTCTCAAAGATTATATCTCAAGAAGTAAATAATTCCTAGATTTGCCCCTTTAGAAAAGTATGAGTTTTCTTTGTGCGTTCAAGAAACATGTGGTAAATTTAGCCAAATACGCAAAACCCCTTTGGAAAAACTACCTAGCCCAGATTTCAGTAGTAAAACCAAATTAAGCACATTGAAGAAATTCTTTAAAATATATATATATATATAGTTATTAATGATAAAAAAACAAATTTAAAAATGGTACCTGAGGCATATTGTAAAAGAAAAAAAGTATGCGAATTTAGATCCCAGGTAGAATTTCATAATGCGTGCCTTTACTAGGGCTGTGACACCCCCAATAGGATGCATCAGCAGAATCTTTGATTAAAGTAAGCACGGTTAGTATAGAGCGCCACAGCACCTAATAAGAAAACCAAACTTAGCTAATTTAACTTGCTCATTAGTAAGTAGGTTAAAGTGCGATCTGTTTTACTGGAAAACAGAAACTGGAATCATGTAGCTTAATGATGCCATTCCACTCACCCAGTCCTTGGTTTTCCAGCAGATCTTTTAGCTTGTTTTTTATTTGTTTGTTGTTTTTGAGATGTTAATCTTACAAGTTCTCTCTAGAAACCTCCCTAATTTCTACTTCAAAGTGTTGAAAGCCCAACATGTTTCACCTCAGGGATCACTTGATCTTGGAATGATGTTTTGACAGGAGGAAAAATATTCAATTTTACATCCCTCTACAAAATCGAACTAAAAATGTAAACAAAAATAGTATATTCTTATAAAAAAAGGTTGAGTGCATTGAAACCATATTCTGATAGCATATACTGATAAGAGTGTGTGTAAAAAGTTTCCTTTCCTAATTCCTGTGTAAACTGTGACTTTCAGAATATAAACGTCTGTAAAAACAATCATGAAAATGCTATCTTGAAAAAAGCTGTGAATGGATTCAAAAAATTTTTGCTTCCAAATAAACATATTTACTTCCATTCTTCCCTGAGTATTCTGAGTGGCTCTGCAGGGCTTGAGACAGACAAAAGCTCTCAATTGTCACAGAGAAAAACTGCTATCGAGGACTTCATTTTTATCAAATACAATCTATTTCCTCAGGTTCATTCCTCACGTTTAAACTTCTATATTACATGGCAGAAAATGGTTGTTTATTATAGAAATTTAAATGAAATTATTTCAATGTTACCTTTTTAAAAATGTTTTTTTATATACTCTACAAAACCAGCTACTGCTTGGTTATACTCAATATTCTTTCAAGCAAGGCGGTTTTAACTATGATTTTATGAGCTAAATTCATCACTATCTCATATCTGAAAGATACTTACCTCTATGAGGCTGGAGTGTATTCCAATCAAGTATGGCATTGGTGCGCTAAATTAAAAATATAAACATGTAGATTCTCACAGATCATTAAAACGGAAGCAACAATAGAAGCAATTCAGATATTTTACACAATTAAAGTTATTAAATGCTCAGTTTCAGAAACCAAAAATTATTCAGCTTATAAAAGACAAGTTAATCTGAGAGGCCATTAATGTGCTTAAGATAGGTTTCTATAAAAATCATACAAAGACTTCTGACTGAATCAAGAATTACACTTTAAAAAGACTTTTTTAACACAAAACTTGAGAGTACAGGCCTAAAAACTCATCACATTTATAGTTAAAGCAATTATTTCTATGACTTTTAAAATAACTCTCCATTGTACATGGCTGTTACATCACGTCAGTGAGAGATCTAGCTAGTGAGCAGGGGCTGACTCCGACTTACTGAGCAGAGCGCTGTGCAGAGGGGACAAGCTCAATCCCTCCTCTGCCGTTGGCCCACCCCCACCACAGGTACCTTATGTTACCTTAAACTCAAGTTCACTTTAATTTGTATAAATTAGAAAGTTTTTAATAGAATGTAAAAAATTCAAAGTATAAAAAAGATATTGAATTAATGCAGAACATGATATTTGGAGCACACTGGGTTCTGAATTAGAGCTCCAGAACAATATTAAGCATTATAGACAGACTATAATCCTTCATGGATCTTACACTTTAGCAGAAAACACAGTCAATAAATAATTTTAATATATAAAATTGGAATCACTATTAATTTCAGAAATATTTCTTATGGAACACTAAAAAGAAATTACCATGTCATTTCATAGCCAAAGTATTATATAACATTAAAATACAAACATGGATGGATGTCTATAATGATGGTAGAAGTTATGTGAAAAAATGGATATTTAAAAATAAAACAATTTTGGCAATTATTATATAGACAAAACGAATGCTCTATTAACACAAAGCTGTTCTATAAATGAAAACAGATAATCCTCTTTTTGAAAGGATTTGCATAATTTTCTAAACAGCATTGTCATTATAGGAACCGAGCTGCCCAAACTCCTGTATGTTCATTTTGATACTGAGAATGAGCAACAGATAAAACCTAAAAGATGACCCCAACCAGCCCAGGATTTAAAATGATCACGAACACTTTCAACTTAATAATATGACTATACCTAAACAGTATATTCAGAATTCACAAAGGAACATTCAAACTTCTGATTTCACTCCTCACTAACCTGTATATTCTAGTCCATTACCTTTAATTTACTAGATTCCCAATTATCTTTGTCTTCTGTAGCTTTGTCCCTTCCTGTTTGTTTCACTTTCATGCAAAAAAACATCTGGAATTGATCTGATATTCTGGATATTCCATTATACTGAAATTTGAGAACTATTTATAGGTCTTCCTATGCTAAGACCTAATATAGATTTTCTAACCTTCAAAAGGAGACAGGAAGAACCACAGTGGACTGTCACACTTGTACTCCAATAAAGGAAGGCCAGTTACTTTCTTAGTTCAAGCTCTCATCCCAGGAATTCTTCCAGGAATTCCACAGAAGACACAAGTCACTAACTGTTTCTGGCCTCAGGCCAGACAATCTCCAAAGACCTGAAATGTGCTGAGCATTCTCCACATCTCAAACAGAATAAAACTACTGAGGCAACTATGCAAACTTACAATCTTCGCACAGATTAGGTTATTCTACCCACGAACCTGTAACATAGAAAGGCTAGGACATCTGATGCACATGCTTAAGAAATCTGAAACCTTGAATGAGATTTCTATATATTCATGAATATATAGAATTCATGAATATATTCATGAATTTCTCATTCACTCATTTCTAATAAAATTTAAAGTGTATAGATATGAACTGTAAGCATCATTTGTCTGCAGTACAACTGCCCAGAACAATTACAATGCTTTAAGTACCAGGAGTTTAATCAGTAGAAATCTGTTTATTCCTCATAAAAACTGGAAAACTGGATTGTGTACTTCCTAACATGAAACAAATCAAATCTCATGAAATTTCCTAATCAGATTAGGGCATTACTAAGTCAGGAAGGATCCTTAGCAACACAGATGTTGTAACATCCATGTGTAAAATGTTCTACAACTTTCTGCAAACGAAGTAATGCTTTGCAAAGATGACTGCTGTTTATTCCTAGTATTTAATAACCTTTATTCAAAAGTTGCCTGTTGTTACTACCATCACAAAACAAATAAAAAATACCTGTAACATGGGACAGAGGTGAAAACAACAGTCCATTTGGCTATCTAAAAAACATAATTTTCCATTAAAAATGTTTTTTTAGAAGCTAAATAGAAATAAGGGTCAGAGAGGTTAAATTAAAAATAATGACCAAATCATTTCCTGACCAAATAAGTAGTGACTTTACTAACTTTACTGGTTCTTCCATATCTTCTCTCTCCACATACTCAGCAGGTTAAGAGTATCTGGGAATATTATTGATTCGCCACATTAAATATTCTTAGTTTGATTGGTTAAGGGAAGGATGAAGATGCTGTCACTTGCTCCCAGGAACCTTCCAAAATCAAAAAGGTTTCTTCCCCATTCATGCTTCTTTCCCGTGTTTCTGGATAATGCCTATAATGTTCCAGTACTACTTCACGTGGGCGAGTAAACATGTATATGTGTGTGTGTACACTGCTTCTCTTGAATCCTGTAATAGCAAAAACTAACTCCTATTCATTATGTCATATATTAAAGGCTCGGCAAACAAGTGTTCATCAAATGTTTGACACATCATGGATGCATTTATATCCGTGTGGACAAACTGACAAAGGAGTAAGGCTTCCTCTGTGCACCACGATGTGATATTCTTCCATGGACACAAGATGGCATCATGGCTCTCCACAGGCTGTGCCATGCCAGAGCTCCCAGGGGCAAAACAAGCAGTATTTCCCGGAGCTAGTTTTATTTCCAAATTTGGAAATTTCCTGTATCTTGAAGAATTAGGAGATACACAATGAGTGCTATTAAACCTTCCTGGTGCTATTTTGAACTGGAATATAAAAAAATCAATTACTCAAAGTCCATGAAATTGAAGTGAGAATCTCTATTGTTTTTATGCTTTGTGCATCTGGATCAATGATTTTCACCTTGCAGATGCCAAAGGAGGCAGACAGTTTTCCCAGGGAACAGATATGTCCACAACTTTTTCTAATAGTGGAGGAAGGGAGCCAAAGCCTTAGATGACCATTTCTAAACAGACAATGTATAGTGTCCAGTTTGTAGGACAAAAGTGGAGCCTGTTCACTTGCAAATCAAGGTTTAGGAAATTGCAGGCAACCAACTGTCTGCTCTGTAGACCAAGGACTGCCTAGCAGTGAGGCTGTTAGAACCCATCCTAAAAACTGTTTCAGATGCTAGAAAACAAAACAAAAAAAAATCCAGGGATTGATATATGTGATAAACTTCATTATAGTGAAAGCAACAGTAAAAGAAGGATCTGATGGAAGGGATAGAAAATACCAGAAAGACAGCTCTGGAAAGAATTAGTGCAGAACTGCCTGTGTAGGGCCCGGAGCGATGGTGCAGTGGTTAAGGTCCCTTGCATGCCCAGGATTCCATATGGGCGCCGGTTCTAATCCTGGCAGCTCCACTTCCCATCCAGCTCCCTGCTTGTGGCCTGGGAGGGCGGTCGAGGATGGCCCAGAGCCTTGGGACCCTGCACCCGTGAGGGATACCCGGAGGAGGTTCTTGGATCCTGGCTTCGGACCGGCATAGCATTGGCCGTTGCGCTCACTTGAGAAATGAATCATCGGATGGAAGATCTTCCTCTCTGTCTCTCCTCCTCTCTGTATATCTGCCTTTCCAATAAAAATAAAAATAAATCTTTTTTTAAAATAAAAGAACTGCCTGTGTAATAAAAATAATATTTTAGGAAGTCTCAAATGTGTAATTCATTACAGAGCACTGAACTTAAAGGTGTGTTACCTCTTAAGAGGTCAGAACGTTTTAACAGACACATTAAGATGGAGCTAACATTATAAGTGAGAAATTATAACTCGAAATCTCAGAATTGTCTGTTCTGGATTTTCTAACTTGATATATATTTTTAAAATATCACATACTAACACATTTCAAATACTTTCTTTAAAAATATTTCTTAAAAATGTTTCAGTTACTAAATACAACGATCCAAGGTGTTTATCAACAAGCACAGATTGCAGTCTTCGCCTTCATGGGTGCTGCTGAACGAATGACAAGGAGCCTCTTTACAGAGCTAACTTGTGTGTGATACTCCACAACATACCCAAACTGACCATACCCCATGGTCTGCCTGTCTCTTTCTCCTGCTTCTCCAAGAACAGCACAGCAGTCGCGGGTCACTGGGTATCCACTCCACAGAATTTACCAATACTACTAACCAAGCTGCGCAAAGCCACAGCAGATTAGTCAGATCTCTATGTGTTCAACTACTGTGTTGTCAGTGTCATCCCGTTCGAAGAGGGTACCCAGAGAACTACACAGGGAACGGTGACACAGAAACTTCATCGGTTCTAAACCTTCAATACGTTAAATGGTCAATCTTTCATGAAATCAAACAGTGAAATCTGTTCAAAGAACATTAGTTTTGAAACACGTTACACTCAAAATGGTTTTCTTCTCACTGGCTAGGGTGCACATGCCCACTTCAGAAGGGAAACCCCAACAAATTCGGAAGACATTGGGACACTTGCTGAAGGCGCTGAGGAAAACACTGCAATCCTCGGCTGCCTTCCAGAAGTCTAATCCCTGTCTAGTTTTGCTGTAATCACACACACACTTCCAGAGGAAGAAGAGGAGGCCTAGAGGCCTGCTGCACGTCACAGAAGGAGATCACTGAGTGTTCTTCTACTGCCACGAAGCTCTTTCAAAAAGGCTCCAACACCCTTCGCCACTGCTCTCCACAGCAGGTAATGGTTGAGACTCTGACTCCGACCAGAAATTCAAGCACGTTGCACTGAAGGAAAGCCCTTTGTCAGTACTGCCAGTTCAGTGGGTGAAAAGAACTGTGTCCCAAAGAAAAGTTAACCGAAGAGTGATTTCTGACCAACTCACAGACAACTCGGACACCCTGGACACTGCGTTCTCTGGTATCTTCGGGGCTGCACAATTTTCCTCACCACAAAGTAAGATTGTGTTAGTGTCTAATTACACAATTTAGTTGCTTCATGACTGCAGAGGAAAGAAACAGAATCGAAGAACTTTACCCACCCCTCCCCTTTAAAAAAAAAATCATCTGTTCCCTTTGCAAAGAACTATTGTGTCTTTCACAAAGCACTCTTCAATGCTTGTTGGGGATGTCTAAGTTGACTGGTATTTGTAGATGTCGCCTGGCCCAGCTTACCAGCAGTAGTCGAGCAGGTGCGGAGGAAGCACAGGGATGTATATATGCTGCCAGTGCATGGGGTACAGCAGAGCAGCGGATCCATGGAGACAGGCAGTTAACTGAAATGTGCAAAGGATAACAACAGTAAGTAGTCACCCTTGCTCCAAACAGAGAGGTATGCTCAAGGTATCAGCGATGAATGATAGACATAAAATAGTTCATGTAATGACGCAACCCTCATTGTCTTTTCCAATTCTACATATAAAAATACACATGTCTCAGGGGTCCCCTATAAAAATATATAAACAGCAAAAATAACTTCTTAAGAGTCAGATGGAGATAGCTACAGCCATCTGAAAACACAGGGTCAAAATTCAGAACATAAATAGAAGTAAAGGCAAAAAAGAAGGTGAGCAGCTTAGAAAATACTGCAGGAAATTACAATTTGTGCAACACAGTTTTCGCATCACTCAGATTAATATAACACGATTAAATATGGAAAGGAAGAGAGGCTGAAAGCTCCTGAGGGATATCATTAGGGCAAATTGCCAAAGAATGAAACATGAGCCAGTCAGGGGAGTCTGGAAGCTGCAGTAATACCAGGGGACTTGAATGTTCGACAGTTGGAGCTTCGGTAATGTGTGAACTGCAGGTTATGGTATCAGGAGACTCTGCTCACTGACACGCAGAATGCCACTATTGACCAGCAAACTGCCCAAGCTTGACAGCTGTGCTGCAGGAAGCCAAGTATATCATAATTTCATAGTTAAACTGTGCATTCCAGATTAACATTTCGTTTCCCAGCTTTTTATCACAACAGCTGCAATTACATTGTTGCTATTTTAAAGGTAACTGCCATTTTAATTGTTTTGTTTTGGCAAGCAGTTAATTAAACATTTGTAAAGCTTGACAAAGAGTTATCATTTTTTACATCTCCTACTGACCCTCATCAGAATTTTTATTATGTGACTCTTTTTCCATTACAATTTATATTTCTGAAGGTCTAAAGTCGTTCTTCAGCATGTAAAGCAGTAATTTCATTCTTTCTCATCAGTTTAAAATTTTCCTACTTGAACATTACCATTTAAGTAATTTTATTCAACTTGAAATCTACAATTTTAAAAATTGATCTAAAAATGAACCAGACTTTCTATAAACCATTATCTCTATCATTGTACAGAAATCAAAACAAACACATGATGACCAACATTAATTTAAAAGAAAATGATCTGAATTTTACTAATGGGAATATCTGCCTATTTTAAATGTAAAAGAATTCCATTGAACTAATATAATCAAAATTTAATAAATAAAATGTTTTATTGAAAGTATACTCATCTTTGTCCTACTGTCATATTTTTTCCAGCTAATAATTTAATCAACTCTTTATGGGAAACAATGCATTTGGAATCTCCTGAGGATAGTATCAAAAGGATTTTAGTACGTTGCACTTTGCAAATTTTAATGGTTTACACAGTAGCCCTTAATAAATATTATTTCTAAATTCCTTACTTGCAGCATGCAATATGCCACTAGGAGGCATTAAAATACTTCTATTTAACAATTACAGGCCATGGGATTATTTATGCTTCAAAGCTGAATTATGGGGAAATGAAAATGGGGTTGAATCTAACTCATTGTGTCAAATTTTCCAAGAGCTTTCTGGTATCCCTTGGCTGTAAATTAATCATCTTTAAAGCTGCATTAACTCTTTCCACCCCTTCAGTGTACTCTGGTAGACTAAATATATTAACAAAGCTTTGAAAGCAAGCTAATTATTCAATTCCCTGTACAAGATAAGTTTAAAACAGCTCATTTAAAATCTTTTTTTAAAAACCCAAAGTCTTTTTATAGCTAAAAAATAATTACAATGTAGCAAGAGAATGAATAGTAGTTTCAGAATGAGGAATTGCTGTAAGAGTGACATAGCTCACCAGGAAGCCAGAATCCAAAGTATTCCACTAAAGGCTCGCAGGTAGGCACCTTCCCTGTGCCCTTAGTGGTCACCTTTGCATGAAGTTACTTGCTAACAAGGCACAACATTGTCTAGGGAATGAGACAGTGTATTACAGGATAGTTTCTGTGGTGAGAGCAGATCTACACCTCTGATATCTTCAGCTTTTCACAGTGCTTAATTCCTCATTTGTCAAACATCCACCAGGAGGGGCCAGCATTGTGGCACAGCGAGTTAAGCTACTGCCTGGAACTTTGGCATCCCATGTGGGTGCTAGCTTGAATTCTAGCTGCTGCCTTTCTAATACAGCTCCCTACCAGTGCACTGCTACTACCATGACACCCATACATGTGGGAGACATGCAAGCAACTCCCGATTCCTGGCTTCAGCCTGGCTCAGCAAGTGACTCAGTGGATGAAAGACATCTCTCCCTCTAGGTCAAGTCTTTGGCTCTTCCTCTCTACGTAACTCCCTCTTCATAAATAATACACCATTAATAAAATAGACCTACCAAAGAGAAAAAAGTGCTCCAGACTTTTTGTATATGAAGAATAGGTAACAGGAAGATTGGCCAGCCAGGGGTGAGGAACCTTTATTCTGCCAAGGCCCATTTGGATATCTATATAACATCATCTTCAGGCCAAGTAAAAATTAGCCTGCTATAGATTTTCTGAATTTCAAGCCCCCTATGTGGTTGTCTTTTCAGAGACAGGCCAAATGGTTACATGTACCCTATGTGGCCTGCAGGCCAGATGATCATCACCCATGGTTAAGCAAGATAATTAAATTCTTAAAAATAAAATAATGGGCAGCATGGTGGTGTAGCATATTAACCCTTCACCTGAGGCACCAATATCCTTTATGAGTACTGGTTCATGTCCCAGCTGCCTCACTTCTGATGCAGATCTCTGCTAATACATTAATAAGCAGTAAAGGTGGACCCCTGTACCCACGTGGAAGACCCAGAAGAAGCTGCTGGTTGCGTTTTCAACAGGCTCAACTCTGGCCACTGCAGCCATTTGGAGAGTGCACCATCGATGAAAGACTTTCACTCTCTGCCTCTCCCACTCCCATTCTCTGTAATTCTGATTTTCAAGTAAAATCAATAATTTAAGTAAAGTAACATAGGGCTGGTGTAGGGCTGGCTTCTTGGCACAGCAGGTACATCACCACTTGCAATGCCTTGTTTTATTCCTTGCTACTCTACCTTGGATCCGGCAGATAACAGCCCAAGTTCCTGTTTCCACACAGCCACATGCTAGACCTGGATGGAGCTCTGAGCACCTGGCTCTGGCCTGGCCTGGTCCTGGCTGCTGCAAGTATTCCTTCTCTTTCATTGCGTCTCTTTCAAGTAAAACAAAAACAAAAATAGTGACATAAGAGTTTTATAGCAAAAGTGTCAGGTTTTGGTGGAACTAGAATGAACTTTCTATTAACTGGGAGTCATTCTAGTGGCTATTTCCAACCAACGGGGAAGTAAATCAAAGAAGCTTCTCTACAGCCACCCAGGACCGTGTGATTATAAAAAATGAGAAAATATGGTTCTAACATATTCTTTCAGGGAACTTAGCACAGTAGCAAACAAAGAAATATACAATAAATTAAAAGTGGGAAATTAAATATAGTTATATTGGAGTTACATAAGACTGTAACAATTTAACATATCACAGACTAAAAAGTGCAACCTCTAGCATATCTGTTGGTGTAACCAAGTCTGAGTTTTCTAGTTTTTAAAATGAAAAGGTTAAGATGGATGATATGTAAGCATTATCTTTCATGGATCAAACACTCTTCATTCTTACATAAATTCCAACTTTTATATTCTTAATAATGCACTATTTTTCCCACCCACGTAGCTAGTGGACTATTTTATCTAAATTATACTTCATATGTACCTTCAAAATATATCTGAAGATCATTTCCACGTGCTTCAAAGTATGTTAGGTAACTTTACAAAAGGAAATATAATTTACTTACATAACAACAGAACTAGGAAACAGGGACAGAGCACTCAATAAGACAAAGTTTCTATTTTCTTGGAGTTCACATGTGAGCAGAAAAGAAAAGCAGATTGAATATTCCTAATCTGAGAGTCAAAAACATATATAAAATAAAATAACATCACAAATGAAAAACCCCACACCTGATTTAATGTGATGGACCAATACCAAATGCAGGTGCTCTATAAACAGGGTAAAAAATTGTGTTCGGTTTGGCCTGTAGGTATACAGGGTGTATGTGAGACATAAGTCAACTTCAAGTTTAGATTTGGATTCCACCCATAAGATATTTCATCATGTATATGTTAACATCCTCAAAACCCAAATCCTCCAAAATCGGAAACACTTTTCATCCCATGCAACTTGCCCGTAGGTAAAAAAACAAATTCAGCAAAGAAGCCTATGCCAGAATAAGGGTGCAAAGAATGATACAGAGACTGTTGTAGAGAGGAAGATAGCATAAAAATCTGCTCTAGTGCTAACTGAACCAACACCAAGGCAAAGTGGATAGGAAACTGCTATATGTTTGGGGAGAAGAGTTTTCAAGATAAATGAAAGCAGCATGCAAGCTCCTAAGGTGGAACCCCACACAGCACCATCACGGAGCAGCAAGGAGGCAGGTGAGCTTAGACTGGAATAATGGGGGGGCAAATCAGGTAACAAAAGTTGAGTCACATACTGAAAAGATGTGACATGGAAAAACCTCCAATATTTTTCAGGATGACATTTCCATACTTCTAAATAGAATTCTGCCACAACATCATTTACCTGAAACATTTTGAAAACTATGCAAACCAAAGGGAAAAAATACATATTTTACAATTTGGTTTTGTGGTATAAAACAATACAAAGAAATTAAATCAATTTAAAAATCAAATAAGAAGAATCTAAATACTTTAAAATGACTTATGAAAAATTGTACTGATAAGCTGCAAAGGGAATAAATGAGTGATACAAGGCATCTTTAGGTTAGCATTACTCAAGATGATTCGTCCAGGAGTGACACTAGCATCCACAGCACATTTCCAAAACCAAGTCATCTACTTCCCTAAGCCATAAGTTACTCACCATGACAAAGAAGCGCAAGAGGAAGAAGAAGACTTTCTGCATCTCAATTACAACCCACCTCACATTTTTCCCCGGAATTTAAAGAAGAATATATTGC